ACCAGATCTGCCAGATCCGCCAGGGGCCTTCGCCAGCAAGGAAGACCGAGCCGGTAAGCCTAGATCGATGTCCATCCTAGCGCCAGCGAGGGAAGGGGAGGAGGAGCAAGAGAGGGAGCAAAGCACCTTAACCTGCGCAGCGATCAGGCAACAGTCGGCCTATGGCCAGCTCGCGTGCGTCCTACGACACAGTGGCGGCGGCCGGTCGGCGCGGCCCGTGCCTAGTCAAGTTGCAGGCGGCCAGCGGGCCTGCTCGCAGCGCCGCCCTAGCACCACGCTGTTGTGCCACCTCCACATGGGGGCCTGCAGGCCATGACGCTGGGGCCACCGCGCCACCGTGTCGGGCGGGTCCACCGCGCTTGGGCCCTCCTGTGCCGCTAAGAGAAGAGGGAGGGAGGAGAGCGGGGACAAGAGAGAGAGGGAGCCGCCGCTGAGAGAGGAGGGATAGGGAGAGGCGGATGTGGATGCGCAAGAGGGAGTTAGGGTTGGAACAGGTATATATTCGACAGAAACAACACCACCGTCCATCGCCAAATCCAACGGCCGGCATTCGTTTCATCATGGCCATCTTGAGGCCGCACCGGCTCCTGATGTTCTCTTGTCTTTAGATAAGCATTTAATTTAATGACTCATAGATAGCTGATAATCGTGCCATATGAAACTCATTTCTTCTCTCTTCTTAAATACAATGCTATCTCTATACAACTAAAAATTTCCTACGGTCAACATCTACCCGATAGGATGATAGGTCGTGCGACCTTCGCTTCACCCCGATGTATGACTCCCCCGATGATTCCTGATCGCACGGAACAATTACCTACCTGATTGGCTCATGCATGCAAGGAACGCTTGTGCATGGAAGCAAACAAATCAATCACCTACCTGATTGGCTCGTGCATGCAAGGAAACATTAATCATGCGGTTCCTCTCCCCCCTCCTCTCTCTCTCGCTCGCTCGGTGATCGCACGGAAGCAAGGGAAAAAATTGATCTAATTGCCTGACTGGCTCGTGCATGAAGGAACGCTCATGCATGAAAGGAAACAAATCCATCGCGATCCGGGCGGGTGAAAGCTCTAGTTTGGTTTTGAAGAATTGATGAAACCCTAAGTGCTAACCTAGTTTATCAAAGTGATTATGAGATAGGTAGCACTACTCCAAGTGGTGAAGCAAATGAAGATCATGACATGATGATGGTGATGGCATGGTGATGATCAAATGCTTGGACTTGGAAAAGAAGAAAGGAAAATAAAAGCTCAAGGCAAAGGTGAAATTGATACAAGCTTTTCGGTTTAGTGATTGAAACACTTAGAGAGTGTGATCACATTTAGGATTGATAGACGTACTATTAAGAGGGGTGAAACTCATATCGAAATGCGGTTATCAAAGTGCCACTAGATGCTCTAACTCATTGCATATGCATTTATGATCTAGTGGAAAGCTAACACCCTTGAAAATGATTGTGAAAATATGCAATTACACATGCACAAAGGTGATACACATTGTGTTTAGCACTTGGGAGCAAGGTTTCAAAATTTCACCGGTGGAATCTACAGAAAAGAAAGGGTTTCACGTAGTGTACCGGACGCTGGTCACACAGTGGCCGGACGCTGGGGTCTTACGTCCGGTCAATGGCGCGCAGTGAAGGCCGCCCTCGGTCTCTTGACCAGACGCATGCGACCAGATTTTGGCTGAACACTATTCAGCATCCGGTCCAGCTGATGTGGCGGCGCATAGAGAAGACAGTGAGTGACCGGACGCTGGGCAAGTCCGGTCGGACGTGACCGGACGCGTCCGGTCATGAATTTCCACCTCTGAAAGCGTACTGGAAGTGACCGAACGCTGGGGTCCTGCGTCCAGTCGGGCGTGACCGGACGCATCCGGTCGCGAGTGGAACCTTACTGGAAGTGACCGGACGCTGGGGTCCTGTGTCCGGTCCAACACTGTTCTGCGTCCGGTCACAACTTAAGTGCATTGATGACCGTTGAGATCAGACGATCAACATTTCAAGCAGGGGCCACGTGGCGTGCATCGCGCGACTGGACGCTAGGGTCCTACGTCCGGTCGATCTGACCGACGCGTCCGGTGGCCCTGATTTTTCAGTGAACAGAGAGCCAACAACTCTATTCGTGGGGGCTCTCTATTTAAGCCCCATGGCCGGCTCAAGCTTACACTCTTGGCCATTTGCATTGACATAACAACCTTGTGAGCTTAGCCAAAGCCCTTTCACTCATCTCCATCATTGATTCATCATCTTTATGAGATTGGGAGTGAATCCAAGTGCATTGCTTGAGTGTTTGCATCTAGAGGCACTTGGTGTTCGTGTTTCGCTGCGGGATTCGCTTGTTACTCTTGGTGGTTGCCGCCACCTAGATGGCTTGGAGCAGCGAGGATCATCGAGCGAAGGTTGGTGATTGTCTCCGGCTCCGATCGTGGTGATTGTGAGGGGTTCTTGACCTTTCCCTAGCGGAGAGGCAAAAAGTACTCTAGTAAATTACTCGTGGCTTGTGTGATCCTCATTTTGTGTTGGTTGTGTAGCACCCTATTGAGGGTTTAGCGTATGATGACAATTAGCGTGTGAACCTCCAAGTGAATAAATCGCCACAACGAGGAGTAGCTTGCCGGCAAGCAAGTGAACCTCGATAAAAAATCATTGTGTCAACATTTGATTCTGAGATGATTGATATTCATTGGTATACATTCTTGTGATTGATTGGTTTGTTCATCGACTCGATGGTATAACCATCTCGCTCTTTTTCTTTACAATACCACAAACTAGTTGTCAAGCTCTTTAATGTAGCTAGTCGTGAGAGCTTGTTAGTTTGGTTAGTGAGGCTCTTTAGTTAGCATTTGAGAGCATACTACCTTAGTATAGTGGCATAGTCATTGTGTGGATAGAGACTATAAAACTAGAATTGTGGTAGGTGACTTGCATTTTTAGTAAGCTAGCGCAATACTCGCTTCGTCTTATATTTGTCTAACCGGTTTGCTAAATATTGTTGTAGAGATTTTAATAGGCTATTCACCCCCTCTAGCCATTAGGACATTTCAGCGGGCACGGATATCTCTCATCGTAAATCGGATCCTCGATCCACGCCAGGCCATCATTGATGTGCCCCTCCCATCCTTCCCGACCGCTCTCACAAATCCACGCCAGGCCATCATCGACGACGCCAGACACCACGCTGCCGCTGCGCAGAACCCGGCCTGCCGCACGCAATGCACTAAGAGGCCCTCGACGCTGCCGCGCTAACAGTTAAGGCGACTGCAACTGCTTATCAGGTGTGGTTTATGATTTCATCCTATTCTGAATGATAAACTTTATTTTCCTTCAACTTTCCTTAGAAATGATTTGATGCTAATCGGATAAGTCAAGATATATATTTTTTCAAGATATATCAATAGTACTTTAATTTTAAAAATTAACAAACAACTTATGTGTAGGATATTTCTAACTACAGCTTCAACTATCTGTACGCTTTAGCTGCAAGAAGTTAGATGCCGTATCTTGGACTTAAAAATCTTCTGGATTATCTTTGATTGGTGACCAGCTGCAGCTTGTTGTTCGTGCAAAGCGCGTTCTCTTGGTCGAAACATTGAGAGATTAGATTCTTAATTGTACAATATATTGTAAAACATGTATTGTAAACACACAAACTTGTTATGATTAAAGTAAATGCTCGTGTATTGCAACTTGTAAAACATCACGATTACAATATCTATTTTAGATACAGTATAACACGTGCTCATACATATGTTATCGTGATAACTAGTGTCATCAACTAGCCTTAGCACATGTACAGATATTGAGTAATGAACTCTGGGCCCCTTCGGCATTAGCCCTAGTGGGCCGCCCCTTCCACCTTAAGTCAGAACCAGCCATGAGCATGCTTATCGTATGAACAATAGACTTGCAAGGAGACGAGCTAGAAGAGCTCTCCAAATTGGCCTCATTACAGGAGTATAATCCTGACATTCTACACAGCAGTTAACGCTTGCGGTTGATAAAAGAATAATTGATAAGAGCTTAAACGTTTGGCACTACGATGCTTGATCGTTATAACAAGGGGTGAGCTAGCTCAACTTCTTTTATTTTAGTTTTTCCTTTAAAATTATTCCATTAGTTCTCAATTTCTTTTCATCTTAATTATGTTCTAAGTCAATTTCATTAATTTTGATCAGGTTTATAGAAAAAACATAAACATCTACAACATCAATAAAAATTCATTAGATATACCATGACATATATTTTGGTAGTGTATTAATTTAATATTATAGATGTTATAAACTTGGTGAAATTTATAGATAAAACTAATTTAGGATAAAACTAAAATAGATTATAGTTTAAAATATTGGAGGGATTTATTATATATTATATTATCTTTTGCATAATGATCGGAGTAATCTCATTCAAAATTAGCTAACTTTGGTTATAGATGTTAATATATTTTTATATAAACTAGTGAAATTTAGATAAAACTAATTTAGGATAAAACTAAAACAGATTACAATTTAAAATGTTGGAGCAATTTATTATATTGTATTATATTTTGCATAATGAGCGGAGTAATCTCATTCAAAATCAGCTAACTTTGATTTTTTTTAAAATGGAATAGAATTAAATCGATTTTGCTTGGCTTAGGTTAGTTTTTTTTTAGTGGAGCTTGGCTTAGGCTAGTGCTCCGAGCCTCATATGACGGAGGCCCAATTGTTGCTATGCCTCGCAGCCTGTATGAATTGTTAAACTGGGCCGGACTTCCTTTTTCTAATCCACTGAGATGGACACTGTATGTCTATTTTTGAATAACAGCAGGTGTCAAGTGCAAAATATATGAAAGCGTACATTACCATCAGCGCCCTAGGCCCTATAGCTGCCCCAAATCTCCCCCGCCCCGTCATTCTAACCGAAACCCTAGAAGCGCTCCGCCGAGCTCCAGGCTCCCGAGCTTGCCGCTTCTCGCGAAGAAAAAGCCGAGGCCGAGACAATTTTCAGCGGCTCAGCCATGGATCTGGAGATCGTTGGGCGGCACGCCTTACTGTTCGACGACGACGCGACGGCGGAGGTTGTCAACTCCGGCGGCTCCCTTGTCCCCTGGGCGGCCGTCGGCGCGGCAGACCTCCTCCTCGACCGCCACGACGTGCGCCACCTGCTTGACCGCGTGCCCCCTCGCCCGCGCCGCGCCTACTCAGTGGCCCTCCTCTCCGCGCCCTCCCCCGACGGCGTCTCTGAGACCGAGCTCGATCGCGAGCGCTACCTGGACCTCCCGGCTGGCGACGGCGAATACGAGGGTTCTGGAGATGCGGCCCCCTCAGGTATAAATGGATCTTCGTTTTGCGCCGCCTCTCCTCTCCTCTCTTTTCGCCTCTCGTATCTGTAACTGTCAGCTTCTGCCTACCCTTTGTTATGTTTTTGGTGTATTTGAGCTCAAAGTTTGTTCCGTTCTACATTCTGAATGTCGTTCTGCCGACTTTGTCTTGTTCTATGAGTCATAATCCTACATTTTTCGGACTCATCTTAATGAAGCCTCAAGTATAAATTCAAGATAAGCCCATTAATTGTTTGGGATTTCACATTTCAGTGTTCTGATCCCAGCCCTCTTGAACCAAATCTTCAGGTTTAAACTGTATTAGGATTTGGATATTTCTCTCTTATATGTGGCCTACAAGCATATCACACGTACTGATCTGTTCTCGGTTTGGATTTTTTTGGTTACCGGCAGACGAACGTAGTAGTAACTGTGTTTTCTTGCAAAGAAACAAGGTTCATAGAATATCCAGTTGTACCCAAATAACAGTATCACTGCCACATGTTTGAAGTTAGCAGTGTTCATTGTACATATGTTTTTTTGTCCATTGTATACTTTTAAGTTTGCAGGAAGGATGCTTTGATTAGTTCATGAGCATCTTTAATCATTTCAAGTAAGGGACTTTCTTCTGTTGCTCGGAAGATGTAATTTGTGCCTGCATGTTTTCTTCCCTACTCCTATTTCTGTTATACTATACAACAATACTTTAGCTGACATATTCTTGCTTATCTAGGAAATGGGACAGATACTGGACAGGCTGATTATAATGCTGTTCCTTTCTCATATGGATATCCTGCTGGTTCAGATGAACCAAGTTCTTCGGACTTGTGTTATCGCCCATCATTTTATGTGCCAGAAAGCTTGTTGAATAAGCTGGTGAGTGTAAGCTTTGAGCTCTCACTTTTAACTATTTTCTCCAAATATGATAGAAATTTATTTCTTCTACCCTGTTATTAATCTTCTTCAGTTGATCCAGCAATAATTGTCCAAGGTGCATATGTTCTTCTAAGGATTAAATGCCTGTTTCAGATGGTTGGAGCAGAGATGAAGTTCCTACTAGTGATGCACATTGTTTCTTTGCAATGTATCTTGACGTAAGGAATATAGGCAGGTGGGATTAGAATGATTCAAGTGCTACATATAACAAAAATGAATGGGATGGCTGTCTTACGATATACCAGTTTTCTTAATATAGTAATTCATTCTGTTTGACATAATTTGTGCTTGTGTGCTCTCTAGCCATTACTGAGACATTTTTTGCTCCCTGTTTTAAATTTACAGCCTTCTTCTGAGAAGGCGATCAGATAATTGCAAGAACAGCTTTATTTGTCAGCGAGCATGGGGACAGTCAGAGATTGTATTGAGGGTGAAACAAGGAGATAATCCAACATTTGGATTCTTGATGCCTGATCATCATCTCCACAGCTACTTCCGCTACCTTGTTGATCGTCCTCAACTGCTGAAAGATGGTGCTGATGCTGTTGGCACGGATAAACGTAATACTGAGAGTGAGCATGCTTCATCTGGCGGGGCTTTATCATTGCTTGGGACCGCATATGACTCAGAAGATGAGGATGAAGGCACACTCCATGTAGTTCGGAAGGCATGAATCCTGGAAATAGCATGACCCCTGATGTGCAGGGCCATGTAAAATCTGCATCAATTATGCCTGACAAAAAAGAATTAGGCAAAGATCAGAATGCTGCCGCTCCTGCAGTTAAGAGTAAAACAATATTGACAAAGAAGAATCCAATTATTACTGACAACAGCATTGTTGCTGTTCAGCGTGAAAAGGTTAATGACACAATTACAGCATCAACTACATCCAAATCACATACCAATTCAGGCTTATCTGAAACAAAAGAAATGATCCTTGAACCACCATCTTTCATGAAACGCACCATGGAGAAAATAATTGAGTTTATTCTGACGAATGGGAAGAAGTTTGAAGAAAAACTGATTGAGCAAGACAGAACAACTGGGAGGTTTCCATTTCTTTTGTCTTCTAATCCATACCACTCATATTATCTAAAGTTTCTCAGGAAACCCGAAGAGGTAATTTGAGTCACACTTGTTTATGCTTTAAGCTTGAAATATTTGTGTTACTACCCCTTTTCTGTTATTGTGTGGTAGAGGTCAAAAGAAATTTATTGTCTTCTTCGTTACTATTTCAAGATGCCAAAAGAAGTTTATTGTGACTTCTTTCTATTTCAGAGAAGCCAAAAGAAAATTAGTTTCCCAAAATACTGTCATGCAACAAATGTCCCATGCCTTCATTCTCATCTTGTGATAGTGATACTTCTATTTACTTAATATTAATATCTGTCAGGTTTTCATACCTTGCATTTGTTTGTTCATCAATTATTTCATTATTTATATTCAAACCTGATTGAGCTTTCTACTACTGAATATGTTCACACAATTGATAGGAATGTTGTAATTGCAAAAATGATGGCCCTATGTTCTTCATTCATCAAGCTTCTTTTCTTGTTTAAGTATTGCCTTATTGTTACAATTATTATTTCTAATAGGCTTAGCTGCTTTATATCATTCTTAAGTACTCTTGATGTGCATTCAAATCGAGCAACCAGGCAACCAGCGTTGCCATGCTAAGCAACAGTTTTTTTTTTCTGGGTCCTGCTTGCTTAAAATTTTGAGATCTTTAAAACTGATAGTGTTTTTGTACTGCTGTTCCAGATTCTTGTTGTATTTTTTTTTTGCTGAGTGTCTTCTTTTTTTCTTTCTTTTTTGTTCTGAAGTGCATATGATGTCTTACACTTGATCTCTGAACTTCAGGTAAGTTCACATGTGGAAAGTATTAATCGCTGATGCACTACTTTGAGTAGCCTGTAGTAGGGTCTTTTATTCAGTCGTTGGACACTTTTCTGTTGGTCCTAATCTTGTAAGCTGGTTTCCCCAGCGTGGCTGTGGTGTGAGTGTTCTAAAATTTGTATACCTTTTCACTTTCTATATAAAAGCAGGATTTTCCTCCGTAAAAAAAAAAACTAGGAACTGAAACTTTTTGTGCAACATATTTATGACATGATTTTCTGGTGGATGTATTGTGTTCACATGAGTCAGTTTCTTTGGTTGAATTGTTGCTTACTGTCTTTCTGCATCTCTTTGCTGTTTGTTTTTTTAATATAATGTCTACTTTGATGATATCCTGGACATCCAGGGCATGATTTGATGTAGCTATGTTGTGCTATCTTAGTTTGAAGCACTACATGGCAAATGTTTTCTAATTTTTTGGATTTGGAAAGGTTCTTCATCTTCATGGACATGAATTGCTGATGTCTATTTTGATTAATTGAATCGCTTTTCTTGGTTCAATTGTTTCTTGAATGCATTGCTTGTTTGCTTTGCTTTTCAAGCTTATACTGCCCATTTTTTTTAATTATTAGTATTTTTTAGCTCGTATTAGATCTAACTCATCAAAAATATCCTGGTGGACACCCTAGAGTGTTTTGTATTCCAGGCCAAATCAATTCCTCCCCCTCAATATCTACACCCAAACAGATCCTTATAATTGTTGGTGCTTCTCTTTTATACCCTGGGAATACTAAGGTTGTGTTGTAGACTTAAGCCCTTTCGCAATGCAGGATTTTGCAAGAAATACTTTAATTCCCACTGTTTGATCAGAATCTTCATGCTCTAAACATTTCACTAGCTTCTTTACTAAGTTAATGTTATCCTTTTTCCTATGATCCAATGGCAAATTTTAACTATGGTTTGTTTCTCTTTCATTTATTGATTTTGCAGTCCAAGTCACGTGGTAGAAGTCCTACTCACAAGGACAGAAGAGGTTCTTCTGACTGGAGGGGCAGAAGAAGTCCTGAGAACGACGACAGAAGCTCCCATGAGCGCGCCGACAGAAGCTCTCGTGAGCGCGTTGACAGAAGCTCTCGTGAGCGCGGCGACCGAAGATGCTCAATGGAGCGCAAAGACAGCAGTTATGGCATGGTATCCAGTGCTTCTGATAGAAGCTCAGCTGGACCATCGGAGAAGCAGCTGTATGACAAACAAGGGAAGGGTAGATTCCATCCTGTTTGTGGGGTCAAGAAGGAACCTACTCGGAAAGTCACTGCAGATGAAGCTGCTGCTATAGTAATGGTGGCTACTCGTGGACTGGGTGCTGCAAATGACTCACTTAACACCATGAAAGGAACCAAGGACAATGTTCGCACCCATGTTAGTAATGATCCTTCTTCCAGCTTTGGAAGTTTCTCATCTTTACAGGACCGAGATGCACTGTCCAAACATATTTCAAATAGTGAGGCTGATGCTTCACTTACAAGTAGTGGACAGCCCCAAAAGGAAGGTTTTGGAATTATTGATGATGATTGGATTGCAAACACTATTGCAAAAGCTGCTGCTGCTGCAGCCTCCAAAGAGGCAGATTCTTCGGAAGCTTCCATGACAAAGGAACAGAAGCTGAAAGCTGAGAGGCTTCGCCGTGCGAAGATGTTTGCTGCAATCATTAAGAGTGGAGACAACAAGATGAATGATTTAGCTGCAGCATCGGATCCAACTAGTGAAGCTGCCAAGGCAATTCCTGATACGAATGTCTCTGGACTTGATCTGCAATCTGTGGCTAAGGAACGTGAAGGTAGCTCTGCCCCGTTTGAACATGAAGGGCCAAACTTGACAAAGCATAATAAAGATTCTGATGATGAACAGAACAGAGTGCGGAAGTATAGAAAGAAACATCAAGAATCCAACGAGGAAGAAGATGAATCAGAGGATAGCTATAAGCACTCGAGGAAGAGGCATCGCCCAGAGCATTCAAGAGCCCGGAGTAAGGATGTTCACAAACATAAGCACAAGAGTCACTCCAAGGACAGGGAATCCAGACATCACAGACACCGTTATAACTCTTCGGAAGATGAGCAGGAGCAGGAGCGTCGGAGTTCCAAGTCAAGGCATAGGCATAGAGATGATCACCGCTACTCTGATGAGGAGGAACACAGGAGGTCACATAAGCATAGGAGGAGGGAGCATCACTCCAGTTCTAAAAGGAAGCTCGAGGAAGACCGAGACCAGAGTGAACAGTCCCAAGGTTGCTTAGAAGTGTCCCCGTCTAGATCAGGTGCCAAGTTTGAATCAGACAAGCTGCCTGATGACACTGCACAATCAACTCAGGGAACAACTGAAGTGCCCAGTGAATTGAGAGCAAAAATCAGAGCGATGTTGCTCGAGAGACTGTAATATCTGTATCACATCTGTTTAACATTATGGCCTTACTGCCCTTTCAATTTATGTATTTGCTTCGAACGTTCCAACTATGTGTCCATTTTATTTGAAATCAGTGACCTGCACGCTAAGTTTGTTGACCTGCTCCACATGTTGGCGTTTCTTCTGCATGCATAGGTTTGTTGTTATGACCATCTTGTTGAATCAGCGGTCTACGTGTAACGTATATTTTTCAAGATGCCTGCTGAAGTCTGAAGACAACCATTTCTTGTTGTGATTTCGGTAGATATGGGGTGTCTTTGAAACTGTGCGAGGGCTTGTTTGGAAACATGACAACCTCTTTCAGTCTATACGTATCGCAAGTTTTTGTGGTGGAAAATGAATTCATTTTCCACTAGAATATGGATCGAGTTTATCCACTTCAATCCATATAGCCTGTTCGCTTGTTGGTTTTATTTTCCACTGGAATATGGATCGAGTTTATTCACTTCAATCCATACAGTCTGTTCGCTTGTTGGTTTCAGCCAAGACTTTTTCTCTCACAATAAACCAGCACTAGCTGGGTTTATCAGTACAGAAATCAACCAGCGAACGCTCGTATGGATTGAGTTTATCCAAATAAGTCCTCTGAAAAAAAAAATCTTTTGACTGGCATGAAGAGAACAGAAACCAATATTAAGGCACCGATCATCCAAATTCCAACCAAATCCATCCATCCAGTTGAATCCGATCCAATCCAAACCAGACCGTCAACGGGGTTGGTTCCGTTTTCCGCACCTCCGCCCCCAAAGCTCACCCGCCGCCGTGCCCAAAGCTCCAACCGCAAACCACCCGAACCTTTACCACACCGCAGTCGCCTTCGCCTGGCTCGCATCTCAGCCGTCCATCAGCGTAGGCGCGGACCCGAAACCCGCCGCAACAAAACTAACGACTCCCGCACACCCGAATGGGTCGCAAGTCGCAACCCACGCTGCCTCGCTCCCGGCTCCGATCTGCTAAGCCCCCGCCGGATCGGGTTGCGGGTCGCCACCCCCGACCCAGATCCACCACAGCTCGCCGCCGGCCGCCGCCGCCGCCGCCGCAGAGGTTAGTTTCACAATCACTCACCTCCTCCTCCCCTTCTGTTTGTTCCTTCTTAACGGATCCGCTTACCGGGGCCATAAACCCTAGCTAAAAGGCGCGGTCTGCGATATTTCACGCCCGATTTCCTAGGGTTTGACTGTTCGAGCGTGGGGACTGGACCCCGCTGGGTTGCGATTTGGCGGGGGGATGCCAGGTCACTTGCTCGCTCCGGCTGATTGTGCCGTAGTTACGAGGGATTGGGGATCTGCTTGGCATGTGCAAGGGGATTTGCTACTCCCAGCGGTGTGTGCAAGGGGATTTTTAATGGTGTCTCTCTGATGTCAGAGGCATTCGGTAGTGCTTGTGCAATGTGCTTGCTCAGCGTATCGTTGCTTTGCAATCTGTGTTAGGAGAGAGCTTGGCAACATTTTAGTCTGGTTATGGGTGAAAGGCTGCCGATTGCTTTCCAGTTTATGACGAAAGGTATTGGATATATGCAATCTGTATTTAATTTTTGCTACCCTTTCGTTTCTGGTAAAAAGAAGGGCAGGCCTGGTGCAGTGGTGAGAGCTGTCTCACTGAGTCACCAGGTCGCAGGGTCGAAGCAGCCTCTCCGCAGATTTTGCGGGGGAAGGCTTGTCTCGGTGTTTCCCTTCCCCAGACCCCACTCATGTGGGAGCCTCCGTCACTAGGTCTGCCTTTTTTTTTTTGTTTCTGGTAAAAAGAGACCAAATCGAGAGCTTTTCCTTTGGTATTCATATGTATGATGTGCTTCTCTGTATGTGTGCTGCAGTGGGTGATCGGGTGCGCGGTAACATGCTGGAGCCAACAGCAATGGAGGTGCCCGTTGCTGGCTCAGTGAGCAATGCAGTGATGCCTGCGCCTGTGGTTCACAATCCACGGGCACGCAAGCTGCGGTCCGCAGTTTGGCAGGACTTCACGAAGGAGCGCCGTGCCGATGGCAACTGTGTGGCTGTCTGTAACCACTGCAAGAAGCAGCTCACGGCAACTAGCCGGTCAGGCACAACGCACCTCCGCAACCACCTCGTAATCTGCACCACCACCTCCACACGGCGTGCTGGTAAGCGCCGGAAGCTTGTTGTGCGCCGCATTCTCCAGAACAAATCCTCCGTGGATGGGCGCTCGGGTGAGGGACACGCCTCCGGTGAGGACAATGATAATGAGGGCACACACTTTGATCAAGAACTCAGCCGCCGAGACCTTGTGCACATGATTGTCCAGCATGGCTACCGGTTTTCGATTGTGGATGATGTGGGCTTCCAAAAGTTTGTCAAGAACCTCCAGCCTCAGTTTAGGATGGTGTCGTGTGACACAGTGAGGGCCGATAGCATGGAAATATATGCAGGTGAGAAACTTAAGCTACATGATGTGCTCTTTAAGATCCCCTGCCGGGTTAGCATATCAGTTGACATGTGGCGGTCAAATACACAGATGGAATACATGTGCTTGACTTGCCACTACATTGACCATGCCAATGATGAGTGGAAAGTTAGGAAAAAAATTCTCAACTTTGTGCATATGGAGGCACCTTTTACACTTGATCAGATGGTTAATCTCATTGTAGAGAAGTTGCAGAGTTGGGGTATTGACAGAAAGGTAGCTGCTGTTGTGCTAGACAACTGCAACGGTGGTGAAATTGTTGCTAGAGAGCTCCTCAGAGTTTTGCAGCCTCGGAGGCTTCTATTGAATGGGGAATTGTTCCAAGTACGCTCTTGTGCACATATTCTAAATCTCACTGTCCAAGAAAGCTGGGAACAGGCATCTGATATAACTAATAGAGTTCGCAAGATGATTAACTATGTCAAGTTTGAAAGATTCCAAAAGTTTCAGGATATTTCAAAGGTACTGCATATGGATCAAAAGCTGCTAGTTGTTGATTCTCCTGATAACTGGCCGTCTACTTACTTAATGTTTGACTCTGCATGCTACTATCATGATGTGCTTGTGCGCCTGACAGAACAGGAAGGGCATTATGATGTTTTTCTGTCTGCTAGTGACTGGGCTGATGTGAAAGCCCTCACTGAAATACTGGACGTAGTCTATCATGCTATGGAGAAGTTTCCTGTGGAAAACCCAACTGCAAACCTCTATTTTAATGAGATGTGTGAGATCCATGTGCTTTTGAAAACCTGGAGCAAGAGTCCATGTACTGTTGTTGCCAAAGTTGCTGACCAGATGCTTTCTAAGTTTGAGGGCTACTGGAATCTCACTAGGCCTGTAATGGCATTTGCATCTATTCTTGATCCTCGTTACAAGATGAAGTCCCTCGAATATTTTTTTCGGCTCATTTATTCTGACGAGCAATTTACAGCAAAGGCAATGATAGATGTCATCCAGAATACCTTTCACAATCTGTATAATGATTATAAACATCAATCATCAGATTCATGGAAGAATCCATCTGTTCTCTGTTACTCTAGAAACAGTAGTTCTTGCATGGGCTCTATGTACAGCAATGGGGATGATTCTAAGACCTTCTCACGTATCACATTATCTGATGCTCGACGGGGACTTGATCAGTATATACAAGAGACCTCATCAGGACAATCCTTGAAGTCTGACTTGGAGATGTATCTTGAGGAAGCAGTTTATCGTCAAAAAGAAGGAAATCAGGATAATTTTGACATTCTGGGATGGTGGAAGTCCTTTGCAGCCAAGTATCCTGTACTTTCACAAATGGCTCGTGATATTTTAGCTATCCCTGTATCTATCATCCCTTTGGACAGTGAAGCCCGTACACTAAATGAGTATCTCAGTACTATGGACCCTTCAACGGTTCAGGGATTAGTGTGTGCACAGGATTGGTTACGGGAAGACCCAGAAGGTATCGCTGACTTTCTCTAACTGCTGTGAAGATTGGTATAACTTAATAATGATTGTTTTCCCCTGTGCTTCTGCAGTTGTTGCTGGTTCAGGTGGTCATGGAGATGTTGGAGCACCGCGTGGTGACGAACTTATTGTGGTGCCAAAATAGGTGAATACATTTGAGGCTCTGCACTTCTTTCAGTTTATTTCCAATACCATTTTATCTTATCCCTTGTTGAAGATGTGCATGCATGAGATGTTCTGGCGAGAAAAAAGTTGATACAAGAGGCTTTTATAAGAAAAGTTGAAAGAAGTTGCTTATGTATACTTCCTTGCCATTTGTTTTTATTCATGGATAATAAAAGTTAAAAGCACAAATCTATGAGGTGCATTTAAGATGTTAATATATGGTAGCTTTTAGAATCTTCAGCGCCTGTTAGAGTGATACTTACCTTATGTCTTAAGCAGAGAATGATACTAACAACCTGGAAATAGTATGCATTGGCAGTTCAAGAAACTGTCAAGTTTTGCCATGAAAATTATGTATAAATTAAGTTCAGTGGCTATAATAGTATTTGTAATGAAAGAACTGTTGGTGGGTGTCTATATTCAGTTTAACTCAGTTTGTACTGGATGGTCACTAACTCACTATTGATGAAGGGGACCTGCAAAAGTACAAATTACCAAAGATTTTATTAGCTGTTTGATGTTTGAATTTGGAGGTGCTAATTGCAGGAACTGAGACCTCTATAGACCTTAGTTATTAAAGTCTTGAAGCCAACTAATTTTTTTATGCCTTCAGTTTCAAGACTACTACTTACTTTCAGTCATTTGTTTTGATGCAACTTTATTTAGAGCATCTCCAGCAGTAGGAGAAAATCTCAACCCCAAAACTAGTTATTGGGGGAGCTACAAGCCTTTTTTGAGGGCTTTGAAAGGCCTCATCTCTAGCAGAATGAGAAAATCTCATCCCCAATATCTCATCTGACATGTGGGGTCAATTTGTCATTCACACCCTTTTCTCTTTCTTCTGTCCCCACCCCCACCCATACCCGTTCGTTCCCCGCAAGGCCGCAACCTGCGATTCCGAGCTGCTGTCCGTTCCCCACTGAGAGCAAATATGTCTCGGGATTGATAGATTGATAATCAAGAGTACAGGGTACAATATATATATATATATATATATATAGACAATGATCCGGAGGGTTTATAGAAACACCCAATCAACGGTAATCCTTGCCTTATCAATCTAACTTAACCCCTAAGGCACTAGCCGCATGGGCCTTAACACCAGGCCCATAACAGCCCTATCAGGCGCCTATGCTAACACGCCCCCACAGTCGAATCGTCAGCCACTCTGCACGTTTAGACTGGACCTGAACTCCGTGAACACTGAGGTAGGCAGCCCCTTGGTGAAGATGTCTCGCATATTGCGAAGAGGTGGGAACATGCGAACACGAAGGTCACCAATGGCGACTTCGCTCCGGACGAAGTGAAGATCAATCTCGATGTGCTTGGTGCTTGGCGATGTTGCACCGGGTTGGAGGTCATGTAGACGGCACCGATGTTGTCGCAAGATACACCGGTGTGGCGCGCCAAGAGGGCATGCAACTCTAGGAGAAAGTGGGCGTAGCCAAGTTGCCTCTGCAACTCCGTTAGCTACTGCATGCGATATTCAAATTTTCAAAGACTTGATCTTGATATCGTTACGGCGCTTGAGGACCAAGAAACAAGATTGTCACCAAGGAACACTTTGCATAGCCCGAGGTGGACTTGCAAGTGTCCCGGACAACCACCAATCAACGTCGGTGTGAGACGACAAGATCGGTCGAAGTGGAAGGTCGCAGCGGAGACCGAGGTGGAGTGTGCCCGAACATAGCGAAGGATCCGCTTGAGGAAGCGGAGGTGAGGCTCCCGAGGGTCGTGCATGTGAAGACAGACACCTTAACGGCATATGCAATGTCTGGGCGGGTGAATGTCAAGTACTGAAGGGCTCCAGCAAGACTGCGGAAGTCGGTAGCATCAGACACATGGGCCCCCTCAGCGGCAGCAACCTTAGGATTGGTGTCCACTGGAGTAGAGCATGGCTTGCACTCAGCCATTCCGTAGCGATCGAGGATATCCAAAGATGTATCTTCATCATTTGTGAGGCGAGTCCATCACCACTTATTTGAACATGCATGCCGAGGAAGTGATGTAGTTCACCAAGATCTTTCATGGCGAATTCTCGCTGAAGTGCTGAGATGATCCGTCGAAGAAGGTCTGATGATGAAGCTGTGAGGACAATGTCAGTGGAGAGGGCCTCCACCCAATAGGAGGGAGGCATGGACGCCTGAAAGAGCGAGGAGCGAACAACATTATTAATGGTACGAATAATGCGTTCGACTTTACCGTTCGAGGCGAGGTGTAAAGGCGGGACATGCGAAGATGAATGCCTGAAGCGAGGAAGAAGTGGCGAGTGCTCGAATTGTCGAACTCTTTCCCATTGTCGCCTTTGGATGATTTGACACGTGTGTCAAAATCGAGTGGAGACGTGGGCGAGGAACTGGGCAGGCCGTAATCTTTGAAAGTGTCGATTTGAGTCGCAGAGAAATGTCCACAAGTAATGAGTGCAAATCATCAAGTATAACCAAGTAATATTTATAACCGTAAACAACGACAACCGGGAGGTCCACAGATCACGATGAATAAGATCGAACTTGCTAGACGCATACGAGAGGTGGACGAATAAAAGGCAATCGAACATGACGCCCTAATCGACAAGCATGACACAAATCAACAATCACTAATATGACGCGAGGTCTTTGGGCGCAAGTTTGGACAACGCCTCATGGCCGGGTGGCCAAGTCGCCGGTGCCACAATGGGAGGAGGAGTCTGGGCGACAAAGGAATGAGCGGGAGGTAGGCGCAGGGGTATAAGCGGCCGGAGCTATTGCACTGACGATCTCGGTCCGGGATGGAAGAACCTTCACAGAACAACAACCGGTGAGGTCAAACTCCACAGAACAATTATTGTCGATAGTAAATTGGCGAACAGAGATGAGATTCTTAATAAGTTGTGGTGACACAAGAACATTATTAAGACGTAAAGAGGAGGACAACTCTGTGGGAGCGATTATGCGGTGACAGCATGATAGAACCATTACCTACGACAATAGATGAAGGAGTAGGATACCGCAAAGGAAGAATATGCGAAAGAGAGGAGGACCGAGAGGTCATGTGGGAGGTAGCACTGAGTCAAGTACCAGATCACTAGACGGAGGTGGAGTCGGGGACGTGGTAATCGAAAGCGGAGGCAAGCGCCGTCGGATCCTGTGAGGAAGGCCGCCACGGGTTGTAGTACCCGATGGGCGACCCAGTGGCTGGCGTCGGGTGCAATGGCAGCAGCTTTGGCTGGTCAGGTGACGAAGCGCACCATCTTTGCTTCTGCTTGAGAGCGCTTCTTCTTCTTCTTTATTCTTGCGCTTTAGAGATGAGGGGCACCGGATCGGCGCCAGTGAGGCGGGGGCCTCCGCCACATCTGGATGGTGCCTGTCCGAGGATTGTAGTAGCTGGGCCGGCGTCCACCGGGAGTAGGTGCTGCTTTGCATCGCCGGTGGGTGGTTTCTTGGTTGTGACCAGCAGAGGGCGCGCCCGCCACCGCCATCGCCGCCGCCATGTACCCGCCACCGCTTTTGCGCCCACGCTTATTGTTGCGCGCGATTGTTGAGGACTTGAGCCACCCCAGCCGCTCTACGCCCGCCCGGAGCCGAAGACGCAGGGTGGTGTTGTTCGCCGTAGAGGTAGCAGCGAGAGCGATGGCGGGAGCATCCTTCCTGTTTCTCCAAGGTGAGTTCCTCAAGGATGAGGTCGTCGCGTGCCTCCAGGAAGGAGGGGAAGGGACGTGTGCGACGGAGGAGGGTGCCGACGTGGCTGAAACGCTCGTTGAGACCGCGAATGACGTTGAGGACAAGGGTCCGGTCAGTCACGGCCTCGCCGAGGGCGGTGAGATCGTCCGCCATCTTCTTCAACCGGCGACAATAATCGGTGACGGAGAGGTCGCCCTGGATGAAGTTCCGAAAAGCGCGTCTCAGTGGGATGGAGCGAGCCTCCCGCTTCTTAGAGGCTCGAGACTCGACGGCAAGCCAAGCATGGCGTCGGCGGGGAGCCTTGGCGAGATGATCTCCGCCAAGTCGTCGGTGAGGGTGGCGATGATCCAGGCCTTGACGACGCAGTCCATCCGATCCCAGGTAGGAGAGATAGGGACTGGAGGCTCCGCGTGGACATGATCCCGAAGGGAGAACTTGCCAAGGATGAGCAAGAACTGATCACGCCGTGATTTTGAAGTTGCCGGAGTCGACGTCAAGGACCGTGGTGACGTGATTGCGGATGTTGTTCACGGCGACGGCCTATGAGTGGAGCTGCAGCAGAGCCACGGCCTCATGATGGAGGAGGCCGGCGCGCAGATCGGTAGGAGGTGGAGGAGGGCCGCCAGGGGTCGCGCCAGAAGATTCTGGTGGCGCCATGACGGCAGCGCCAGCCGCCGCGCTTTGGCCGCGAGGCGAGAGCTGGCCTTGCGGCCTCGTCGCGGGCTCTCGCGGCGGCGGCGGCTTCTTCCTCGGCCTCTGGCCTTGGCAAGGGCTGCGTCCGGGCGACCACGCGTTCGCGCTTTCCGTCTGCGCTGGGCATCGGCGGCGGCGGCGGCGTTGGCGCGCTCCTCTGCGGTCTGGCCGGCGATGGCGCTCGTCTGGATGGTGGCAGGAGGCGTCGGTGACCACAGGAGAGGTAGGCGACATGGTGCGGGGAGGGTGCAGAACGGCAAAGAGAAGCCGGCACGGGGGAGGGTGGACGCGCGCGACGGAGTGTCGGCGGCGCGGAGGCAGCAGAAGAGAGGTCCCCTGACCTAGGCGTCAGATACCATGAGAGCAAATATGTCTCGGGATTGATAGATTGATAATCAAGAGTACAGGGTACAATATATATATATATATATATATATATATATATATATATATATATATATAGGCAAGGATCCGGAGGGTTTATAGAAACACCCAATCAACGGTGATCCTTGCCTTATCAATCTAACTTAACCCCTAAGGCACTAGCCGCATGGGCCTTAACACCAGGCCCATAACAGCCCTATCAGGCGCCTATGCTAACACCCACCTGTACCGCCGACGCCGCTCC